CACTGCCTAGTAACCAAACTGGAACAGCAAACAAGCAAAAAGTCTGCACACTGAGATTTATCAAGAACTTAGTAAAAGTGGGGAAAAAAACCCAAAATATTTGTATTCATAGATTATTCTCTAGGATGTTTGCACACATCTTGTATTATCAGTCTTATATGATTCTAATAAGAAAGGTAAAAGATGACTAATTAAATGGTAGAGATGAGATCTAAGCATTTGTTTATTCTTATGAGAAGGACTTTGGCTAAAGGACTCTAAGACCAGGGCCAGAAATAAGACAAGATCAAAGGAATTGTAGAAACGCAGTTCAATAGTAGTTTCTTGAGTCTACTGAACCACCAGCATTGAGCCAATGTAAGAGCTGAAATCGATCATTCCAACTCTGTAGAGCACAGCCCCCATGCTTTGTTGAACACCTCACACTATCTGGCCCACACCACATACCTGTCTCCTGTCTATCTACTGTCTGCCTTATGTTCATGCTCAATGGATAGCTAAACACTCCCCAAATCTTAGAGTCTTTGTGATGTAGTATACCTGGGACCAAAAAGCCCTTTCCCATCGCTTTGCCCGGGGAAACCCTATCTGACCCAAACCCTTAGCCTCTAAACTACCTTCTCCATGTAAGCCCTCGTTAACTCCTGCCTACCTCCGGCAAGCCAAAGTTACCACTCCTCACTTTGGACCATATGTCTGGTGTTCACCATGGCACACCTAGGTGAACTAAGTTCACATCCTTCTTTCCCACAGGACTGTGCATTCCTAGAAGAAGGCTAGTCTAATTCCTTTTATACCCCCGGCTCCTAGCACAGTGTTGGCATATAATAAGATCAACATTTCTTGAAGAATGCAAAGGAGAGATTCTAGCTGACAAGCTAGTGGGATAGTCCAGTCTTCCTAAATTCAGAAGGTGGAACTATGGGTGAAATGAAAAATGATTAATAGACAATAGATCCAATTAGCTGAGTTATGAAATATAGAAATGAGAGATAATAAGAACTGGAAGGTTATTATAGCCACAATTCCTAGCTAAAAGGACGGAGAAACTCTAGAGGCTATAATAAACATAGGAAGAACAGAAGGAAAAGAACATGAATTCTGCTTCAGGCTTCTGGACTCGATAGGCAGATGATCACCATTAACAGATGGTTAGCAGACAGTGGTGTATTCAAAGACTAAGCTTTCAGGAAGGCTATAGACGTTAAGGGCATGCAGTGGAAAATACAAAGTGGAGGATATCGAAGAGATACTGAAGAGAAGCATAACAATTACTAGACCAGGTACTTACTACCTCTATGTAAAAAACAAAGGGCTGGGAAGAAGGAAGTGAGAGGGTTGGAGAAGCAAGCAGATGGCATGCTCCAAGAACATGAGTCCAAACTGAAGAAGGGCCATGGAGCCCTCCTCATGGCGACCCCCACAAACGCAGCTTCACCAGATGAGGGAACAGAATGCAGAAGAGCCGCGGAGGAGGGTGAAGCTGGCGAGTGAGGGTGGCTGCTCCCTGAAGTGGCTGTTGTAACAGGCATAGGCAGAGCTGCTGTAAGTTCTGTCACTTGTCACCGCCACCATCTTATAACTGAGAGTGATCGGTGTAGTTCCACTGCATTTGAAGCTTCTACTGCTCAGAGCCACTAATTTTTGCTTCTTTAAGAAGTTAATAATGTAATATATGGGGTTGGAGATAGAGCTTAATGGCAGGTCACTTGCTAATGTGCCCCATGTCCTGAGATCATTACTGGCAACACACACACACACACACACACACACACACACACACACACACACACACACACACGACCTAGTATAGTTATAGTCTTGAGATTGGGCTGGAGAAATAGTTTGAGAGTTCATCTTTACTCTCTTTTAAAGTATGTCACAGTTCTTATGAATCATCTGTTCTGTGTTTTGTTTTGCTTTTTTTCCTAAAAAGATAAACCAAGAAGATCTTAAAAGATCCCTTCCAAAGAGACACAGACTATCACTAAAGCTAATAAAAATTGTATATGCCTGCTGCTCCGGGCTGCGGTCAGGGTCTGACTGTGACCCTTCATACTTGAAGTCATTATTTCCCATGTGGTTTTCTCCTCCTGTCAACAAAGATCATGGGCGTTGTTTAGTGCAGCAAAGAGAGGACTGACATGCCTCCACCCTTGCAGTGAAGTACATCTTCTTGTGTCATCCACTATTTATGACCAAGGAGATCTATGGATTTTAGGTCATGACGGTGAAGGCTCATGGCTCTTTTTAGCTGGTGACATTTCCATCTTGGTAGATTTATTCCATTAAATTTACCACTGAAGACTTGTGTGTTTTGATTTGGCAATAGTCGATTATGTCATTTTAAATATAGCCTCTGAAGCAGTTTGGGGAAGATAATTAAAATCCAATTGAATGCGGGGCTTTAGTGGAGATCAAATATATTAACTAAATAAAATATCCGGGGTCATTTCACTCTGCTAGTGACTTCCTGGAAATTACAGTTGATGAATTTCTGCAAATAAGGTGAGTCCTTCCCCAGGGAAGCCATAGGAAACTCAGGGAAAATCTTAGAGGAGCCAAGGGAACTGGGTTCAGACTTGGCTCCCAGTAATCACACACAAGGCAACTCCTGCCGAAAAACAAAGTTAGTCTATGTGAAACCTCTTCAGATAGGTTACCTATGTGTTTTTTATATTCTATGTACATGTTAGTATCTTCCTGCTAAAACTTGAGCCAGACAAAGGGATCTTTGCTTTGATTCTACCATGTCCCGATCACCCACAACAGTATCTGGCACACTAACTGACTCACAATTGTTGGTTACACGAGTGAGTGATTTTTCTAAGAACTCTCATTTTCTGAAGTTTTGCATTTCCTACCCAGGAAACCTCTCTTTAGAACTTCCTCCTGTTCTTGCCATTTTTTCCCTCCTCAGAACACCTCCCTCTGCCTCCATGATACGCCATGCCTTTGTAATGCATCTCCCTGACTTCCAGAGATAGTGGTTCATTTTCTGCTCCACTGCTTAGAGAAGCGGGTCTTCCATGCACCCATCCTCCCCTCAGGAAGTGAGCAGCAGAGAATGCACATATTGTCCTCTTGGTCTTAGTTTTTTATTGCTCATCCAATTTTGTGCATTGTCTCAGGATTTACTTAAACTTTGTGGATAATGTCCATCTGATCTCCCTCTTGACAACACAGTTACCATGGCTACAGTCTTGTGCTGAAAGAGGTAAGAAGTGAAGCCATACATTTAATATCCCATGACTTGTACCCAAAACATTGCCTGGTAGATTCCTAATGGCCCCAGAGTAGCACAACAGACATGCCAGAGGAAAGGAACTTCAGGTTTTGTGTACACAGAAAGACCCCTTTTGTTTGCTATAGAGATGACTATCTGGATCTCCTTTGAAGAGACCCTGCGTGGGGACAGGGTTGGGTCCTGTTCTTTCAAGTCCATTGTGCTTCTTCTGAGCTTCTTCCAGGCAAGGATGGAGCATACAGAGATCTTAGAGCTTCCTTATCCCACTCAAAGTGGAACCCCTAACACTTCTGGATCTGCCGGTTCAACTTGTACCTCCTGTTTCTGCCTCCTTTATGCCTCGTGGGGCTCTCCCCATAAATCTCTTCCATATAAAATCCCATCTTGCCATTAGCTTTGTGGAGAACCTGAACGGACACCTCGAACAGTTGGCTACCTTACAAAACATCAGTGAGAGGCACCAAAGGAAGATACTGTGGATGAAGGTGTCACTTTCTAAAAGCCTTATTGCACACACTGTGCCTCCAAATGCAGTCAAATGCAGGTTCTAGTCACATAATGGGTCAGTGGAGGAGACTCATATGTTCACAGGGACAGGTTGTCTTAAACCCTTTGTCTAAGTGTGTACTATATTGAATCTAAATTTCTACGAGGATCTTAGCCTTTCATTTCATTGCCTTCATCTGCTAAATTATCAGCAATGGTGGCTAACATGTCAATTAACATGTTAGATCTCAAACAACAGTAATACGGATCTGCATAAAATAACACATTTTACACAATAATAATTATGGCTTCATTTTCCATCCCAAACTCAGTAAGTACTTGTCACCTTTTGAAGGCGAAAGAAGCCTGTGGTGTAAAGATAATGAGTTATCTTCATCTAGTGATGGGCATTAAGAGAAGCTATACCCCAACAGAAGGACTCGCTAATATGAGCGAATTAAGTAACCGAGAAATCAATAGGTAAAACTTTAAGACTAGGTACTAACTCTTGGTAGAAGATGCTTCCCTTTTCAGCCTAGACAGTGCTCTGAGCTAAGCCCTGGGGATTTGGCCAGAAGGCACCTCCAGCAGCTGTTGTCAAGGAGAAGGCTTATGTCAGCACCATTTATATCAAGTACACCCGGAACATTGTGTCAGCGGCATAAGTGCAGGCATGTCAGCATCTCTATTTTACACCCCCTAAAATGTGTACACTTTAATTAGACTGAAGCCCGGGAGTGGGTTGTTGAGAGCTCAACATGGAAGTAATGACTTCCTAAGGGAGTCATCCCTCCCCACCCTGGGGAATCATCTAATATTTGTCTTTGAAAAGCCGATCTCTCATGGTGTGCTCCCTCTAGGAGACTACTCTCAAAAAGCAATAACTTTACCCCCTGAATCTAGTGGAATATTTATGGTGAACTGGGATCAATAATTTGTCTGGACACCTGCAGACTTCTGTATTCTGCTAGTCCCCACTTCAGCCACGTGCTCTATGTTCTTCCTCAAGCAGGTTGTGTCCCTGCTCCATTTAAATGGAGGAGAGAACATTTCCACAGAGAGAGCTAGTTGAATGACAGAATGACAGACTGCCTACAATCCAGGAGAGGCTTGAGGAGGCCTCTGAGGGAAGAGCAAGTTTCTCTGAAGGCAGAGATCAGTGAGCCCCCAAAAGCTTAAGAACATTTTCAGAACTCCCTCTTTTCCCCCACAAAGTGTTGAGTCTGTTTGGACCATTCTTTGGTTAAAAAAAAAAATCTTTCTTGCCGAGCTTCGGCAGCACATATACTAAAATTGAAACGATACAGAGAAGATTAGTACAGCCCTGCGCAAGGATGATATGCAAATTGGTGAAGCATTCCATATTTTTAGACAACTGAAACTGTTGTATCTTTGTATTTATTACTTGATGTAATAAAGCTTATTTTCATTAACAAAAAAAATCTACCTTTATCATCTTTCTCGGTGCCTCATTAGGCTGAATGATGGTTTAAAGAGAGAACAGCCCAAGTTAATTTTTGAAAACCTCAAAAGATTTGGTTGTGTAGGGACAACAATGTGTATGTGAGAGAATTATATCCAGTTAGGTTTGGAAAATAAAGGATCATTTGAAGCCCTTCCTGTAGGGAGCAGGATGCTAGGAAGAAACATCAGAGGAGAGTTAAAACTGAACTAAGACTTTTGAAGGAGAAATCAGAGATTTCTTTGTGATGATGATGGTGACCAGATACTAACTTCTAACCAAACAGAACTGGTGCCTCCATAGAAGTTCCTCTCTGACCAGTAACTGAGTTCCTTACATCTCAGTATCTCCTGGAACCTCCTTTTGCTGAAAGAGGAGCATGCTTCATATCATGAAACAAAATGCATATTCTGGAATGCATGCATAGATGTGCATGTATACACACAACACACACAGCCGGGGGAAGTGGGGGAGAGAAGAGAGACTTTTACAGCATACTTTTTCTTCTTTTCTTTTATTATATCTTCATACAGGGTTTCAGTGTGTATCCCAAACTGGCCCTGTGGAGGTTTCTTCTTTCTTTGTGGTCTGTTGACTACCAGGCCACAAGGGCAGAAAAGGCAGAAGCGATAAGCAGGGCCTCGTCCTGCCTGTGGTATGATGGAAACAGCCTTCCAGGACTCTGCTTCAGTGTTACAGCTCAATGTTACTCAAGGGTGAGGGCAGTGTCTGTTGCAGAACCTAATCTACATTAAACAGCATACGCCTATCATAAGATTCCTAGTACAAGTCTTAGTTATCATATGTGGAAACACCGGCCTATCATAAAGTCTAATTACCATATGGGCCGCAGGGGCAAAGCTTCCACAGGGAACTGTGTCAAGGGTCATACTTGAGATAAGTCAGGCATCTGGACCTAGAGATATTCTCCAAATAAGGTCAGAGAGAGAGAGCAGGGAGCCTCTGCTGCTGGGAAGGAGTCCTCTATGTTGCACCAAGCTCAGAGAGAGCTGCCAGGCCACTGTAGACTGCAACCTCTGACCAGTAGGGCCTCCCAACAGCCCAAACCTTGATATTCTCCTGCCTCAGCTTACTTGGTGCTAGGATTACAGGTTTGCATCATTATGCCTCATTGAAGTACTTGTGTTCGTTGTGGTAATTTTATGGGGGAAATGTAGAAAATGGTTACTATAATGATTTTTGCCAAGTCAGAGTTCTCAACTGTTAATTGCAAAGTCTTCACATCAGGGTCTTGACAGAAACCCAAAAAGAATAATGCAATGTTTAGTGTGGGACCAATATTCCCAATCAATAGCTCTCATAATCCCACTAGCTCTTACAAAAAAAATAATAAATAAAAGATTTTTTTCTTTAGTGCTACCAGTATCTTTTCCATGTCTTAAAGATATACTTTCGGAGACATCTTTCTGGAACAGCCAGGGTTCTGGATAGGAGATCTGGGCAGGATATATTTGGTGTCATGTGTTACTTTGTTAACACAGAAAAATAAATTTTCCTTGAACTGCATCTTTTTGAAGGCTCACAAATTGCTTTACAGCTGTCGCTACAGAGCTACTCTTCAATCACTTTGAAGAATTATAAAGGACACACACACAAAAAAAAAAATCTCTGAAGATGAAATAAGGGAAATGCTTCTCCTTCCTAATAAAAAGGCAAAAGGAGTATCGCAGGAAATTACAGACTGCTGGTTGATGGTGAGCTCCAGAGCCAAGGATCAAACAAGCCCTTTCAGTGCCCAATGAGCAACAGGGAGCCTTCCTTTCCAGAGAGCATCATATTAACGAGGATGATGAAGAGACTTGTTACATTTTGAACCAATTTTTAGCACCAATGGGGTTCTAAGTCTATTGCACTGAGTAAGTATCATGGTACTACAGACCTGGCTCTAGCCTCATTTTTTTTCCAGAAACTCCCCATGCAGTTCTGAGTAATCAGACTTTCATTTGTTGGATTCTTAGACTTATTACTTGTCAATGTTCCTTGAAATCTGAGAAGCTCAAAACTGGGGTTCAAATTCCCAAAGATATTTGTACCTAGAGTCAACGCCACTTAAGAGTAGCAGTTTGCCTCATGGGGGTGTCCACCCGGTGTTATTTGTGTTTTGACGAAGGCTATTGAAATGGAAATGTTCTTATCTGGGTTATAAAATCCTATTTTCTTCTTTCTTGTCCATAACTGATTATTGTAGATCTAGATAATTCATTCAAACTTAGTTGACCAAATTCTCTCCAGGACATCAAATGAAAAGATGGAAGGCTCTTTTCCAGGTTTTGTGGCTTGAGCAGCCATGGGCAGCAAAGCCTCTCACAATACCCTGTACTAGACAAGTGCTGGAAATCCTGCACAGGAACCAGAGCAAGGGCCACAAGTTTCTGGAAATGGTGGCATTGCAGATCAGCCTGAAGAGCTGTGACCCACAGAAGGACAAACACTTCTGGAGCACCATCAGGTTTAAGTGCACTTCTCACCCCAAGTTCTCTGTGTCCTGGAGACCACCAGCACTGTGATGAAGCCAAGGCCGTGGAGATCCCCTACATGGACAGTGAAGTGCTGAAGAAAGCTTACAAAGAACAAGAAGTTGGTCCAAAAGCTGACCAAGAAGTATGCTGCCTCTGAGTCTCTAATCAAGTAAATCCCATGTATCCTGGACCCAGACCTGAGCGAGACTGGCAAGTTCTCTTCCCTGTTGACACACAATGAAAACATGGTGGCCAAAGTAGATGAGGTGAAGTCCATAATCAAGGTCCAGATGACGAAGGTGCTGTGTCTGGCCATTGCTGTTGGGCACATGAAGAGGACTGATGATAATCTGGCTGCCAATTTCTTGGTGTCCTTGCTCAAGAAGAACTAGCACCATGGGCAAGCCCCAGAATCTGTACTAGGGTGCCCCAATAAACATTAGTGCTACCATCCCCTTGGTCTGCCTGTGATTGGGGGTAGGGTGTTTGTGAGCTGTTACAGCCTCGGTAAAGAAAAAGAGAAAGGAAGGAAAGAAGGTGGGAAGGTAGGTAGGTAGGTAGGGAGGGAGGGAGGTAGGTAGGTAGGTAGGGAGGGAGGGAGGGAGGGAGGGAGGAAAAAAGAAAACAAGAAAGAAAGAGAAAGAAAGGAACCTAAAGATGGGGTATTGTCAATCTAGAGACACCAAAAGAGATTTTTACATTGTTAAAGAATGAAAAGGAAGGAATGAGTGAATAGTGCTCTTAACACCTCCCTTGTCCATAATAGATGCCTCTCCTTGCAGTGCCTAGGACTACCAAAAGCCCTGGATAGGGACCTGTTTCCAATTTCTTCTCTTTGAGATACTCTATAACCCTACACTACTACCTAAAGTCAATTAGATGCCTCAAAAACCTTTAAGTCCAAGACTTATGGTGTTGTATTAGGGTCCCGTGAACAGACTCTGATTTCACAAAGTGATCAGATGAGGAAGTTACTTTTGTTAATTGGCATTATATTTCTTCTATGGGATTGTGTGAGATTGGGCTGTCATAACAGTGTCCACACACAAATATAGGAGCTCTACACACCCTATGGATCCTTGTTCAAAAATGTTACTAGTGGTAATAAGGTAAGCTTGCTTTGTGAAATGAAACTCTTTATATAACTAATATAAGTATTATATAAATACTTGTATAAATATATATAACATAATAACATAATATGGGAATCTCATAAACATCTATGTTATAAATTTAAATGTATTAAGTTCACATTTGATAAATTATTTACTGGAGGTCACAGTAAAGAATACTTGCTTTAGGATTGTAGGAGCCAGAGGGTTCAAGGGCACCACAAGAACATGGCCCACAGAATCAACTAAGCAGGGCTCATAGGGGCTCACAGGGACAGAAGTGACAATCATGGAGCCTGCGCTAGGTCCTCTACATATACCTTATGGTCCTTTATATCCAACCTTGATATGAGCATTTGTGCCTAGTCTTATCATAGCTTGTTATGCCATGTTCGGTTGATATCCCTGGGAGGCCTGCTCCTTTTTTCTGAAGGGAAACAAAGAAGAAGTGGATCTGGGGAAGAGGGGAGATGGGGGAGAAGGGACTGGGAGGAGAGGAGGGAGGAGAAAATACAGTCAGGATTTAATATATGAGAAAACAACAACAAAAGAATACTTTCTTCAATAAACTGCTACATATACCTAAAAACAGATGAATTAACACCAAAACCAGTATTGGAGAATGGAAGCACTAATATACAATTTGTCATTCAACATTAACACTGCATTACTTCAATGAGAGCTATAACTTCAAACTTGTAGGACTAAAGAAAAACACATCTATAACAAAAATATTTCTCTGTAAATACATTTATGCCATTTGGGGATCCAAACATGAGACAGCAGAGTAGATGCAGAACTGGGCTGAATCTGAAACTCTCAGCTTGAAGCAGACAAGTCATGCTGAGGACAGGTGTACAGGTGCATCTCTTAAGCCCAGCCAAGCACGTCGTCATGTTAGGCCTGCCTCGGCTGTCTGAGTCTAAATCTTAATGCTACATCTCCAAGAGTGACCTTCACATCTCATCATTTCTACCTCATCTACCATTTTGCATTGGCTTTCTTATTTTGTTGCAGGTGAATGATCAATAATTAATCCTATAATTTTAGAACTTAAATAAAGGCTTTCACCCTATAGGAAGAGCAAGATTAGTCGAGAAAAAAAAAACAACTAAAAATAAACATTGCAAATAAATTTTATGTATGCATGACCCTTGGACATGCCAAGTATATTTTCAAATCTTCTTTAATCCACCCAGTCAATCGTATTAAGTCAACACATTAGTCCTGTCAGTGCCTGGTCAAGCCCGAAGAATCAAACTGCGTGATTCGGGCTAAAAGGAAAGTTTTCATGCTGGAAAACTGTCAACTGTGTCATGATTTTTTCCTCCCAGTTTATGGGAGCTCATTAAAGCAGCATCCATCCCCCTTAAATCCCACCCACAATTTACTGTCAAAGACATCACCCTCAATTAAAGGTTATTCTTCCTAATAATGTTTCCCAACATACACTCCTTTTTTTTTCTTTTAAAAAAGTGAAGTGACTAGTAACTGTGAGAAAATAAGCTTGTTCATCACATTTTATCACTTTCCCTGCTATTTTTTTTTCCCTCTGAGACACCACAGCCTTTTTATATCCATGCTGGCTGTGCATGTTTGTGACATCTATCACTGAGAGCCATACCTGCCAGGACAAAAACACAGAGGAGGGAGAGTCATTGCTGGCCAAATCCCTTTAGACTATGTCAGAATGAGTGATGGTGGCAGGAGCTTGCAGAAGAGCCACAGAACCTGTGGGATGCGAGGATGCTTTATCTAGATCAGAATCCCTGCAAATCTCCTGTAGTGGGTATTTTCTGTAACCATTTTTCATATTTAACATAAGTCACAATTTCATTTTTAGGGCTAAATCATTCAACATTCCAAGCTCCTCAACTAAGGACATTTTTTCAGTGTTTTATTATCGGATTTGATGGGCAAACAATGATTTGATGTTTACTTCTAAGGTCACTCAATGCCTTGAGACAGGATAACAGCTTTACATGAAAGCAGTATAAAGAATTGAAAAAATGCAAGCATTGTCTGGTCATTGCCAGTGGCTTTTCTCAGAAAGGAGAATTGTTGGGTTCTCTGTTACATTTATTTTAAAATTCTGTGAGGTCCTGCATGATGTGTTTCACTTCCCACTGGGGAGAGAGAGAGAGAGAGAGAGAGAGAGAGAGAGAGAGAGAGAGAGAGAGAGAGAGAGAGAGAGAGAAGATGAGATGAGATTATCTATTCTGGTTACTGTTGCTTTCATTCATCCTAATGTGCCCTATCCAGGTGCACATGAGTGGGGATGCTCACATGGGGGGAAACATTTGGCCACAGTTTAACATTTAGAACTACTTCAATGCTGAGATGCTGGCATTATCTTCAAACACTATGTATTCATAGAGTCACATAAATATTCTCACAGGGTGTTTGCCATTCATGCAATTTTCAATGAGCCCTATTGCTTAGGTGGCTTTTGAATAAGGCCCTTGGTGACCTATGAGTAGCATCTGGTGTGTATGAATGGTCTTGATCTAAACATTTACAATACACAACAATTTTCAAAAACTTTGTGATTGTGGTGTTTTGGTGTTTTGGTGTTTTTGTTTGTTTGTTTGTTTTGTTTTGTTTTTTTTGGTGTTTAACATCTGGCATCTGGAACCCTGGACAACTGGAAGTGGCTCAGGATCTGAACTGTTCTATTACCGGAATCTTCCACCTTTTGCTGTCCTAAGCTCCAATTTGGCTCTTCTTTGCTCCCATGTCTTGACCACAGTTTACTACACTGTGGTATATACGTTCTTATATGGAGGTGTCTGCTTTTCACAAACTGTCTCAGAGACCAGTGGACACCTAGGTCCCAGTGACCACGGTGGCTACCCATCACTGTTCAGAGCATCTGCCAGCTTCACTTATCCCTTCGAGGTGTTTGCTCCTCAACCTTAACGCCTCATTCCCACATATTACTGCCAATTTTACCAGTTGTCGTGAGCACACAATTCCGTTAAATCTGAAAGTAAGCATGGCAGAAATCAAAGTTTGGTTCTTGCCAAACGTATCCTGAAAGCTTTGGGAAAACCTCATAACGGGAAATTATAACACCAAATAAAGATAACCAAACAAGCCCGTCAAATGGATCACAGGTAATGCCACTATATTCAGCTAAGGAGACAATCTTAAACATCTAGAAAGGATCTCTATGAGGGTTGTTTACCAGTGCATTTATATCTTGGCTCCATCCTCAAGAAATCATAGCTAGATAGTGCAGGATCAGATGGCTCTCCAAACAAAAGGAAAAGTCTTTTTTATTATTATTTATTTTTATTTTATGTACATTTGTGTTTTGTCTGCATGTACGTCTGTGTGAGGGCGTCAGGTTCCCTGGAACTGGGGTTACAGACAGTTGTGAGCTGCCATGTGGGCGCTGGGAATTGAACCTGGGTCCTCCGGAAGAGCAGTCAGTGCTCTCAACCGCTGAGCCATCTCTCCAGGCCCCTAAGTCTTGTTTCTCATTAAAAGATTAGCAAGCTAAAAGTATGATTAAATGTCTATGAACACTCTTTTTTTTAAACTTTTCACAACTGACTTTTAAAACATAAACTAACAAATTCCTGATAAAAAGAACTCCTTACAAGCTTTGTCTGGGTCCCTAACTTCCCCACCATCCCCATTACTTTTCATTGCTATGATAAAACACTAATGAGACCAACATGGGGAGGAAGGGGCTGACTTGATTTGATTTACAGGTTACAGTCCATCATCCAGGGAGGCCGAGGCAGGGACGCGAGGGAGGAATCTGGGAAGCAGAGACTAAAGCAGAGGCCACAGGGGAACTCTGCTTGGAGCCTTCCTCTCCATGCTTGTTCAGCTGGTCTCCTTCTGCAGCCTGGGACCACCTGCCCAGAGACGGCAACATCCACAATTGCCTGGGCCTTCCTCCATCAACAATAAATCAAGAAAACACCACCCAGTCGTGCCCACAGGCCAATCTGGTGGAGGAAATTCAGAACCTCAGTTCTTTCTTCTCATGGGCCTCGAAGTTTGTGTTAAGTCGACAAGAGTTAACGCACATACTCACTAAGAGCAGTTTAAAGAAACCCCAAGCCAAAGAAGGGATGTGACAGCTCCTTGGTGCTAATGCACTGATAAAAGCCATGAGCTACCTATGGTCATGATTCACCTAATGAAAGACACTGAGTGGTGAAGACAAGGCCTATGGATTCGGGTCCCTCAATGTCACTCCTAAGGCCAGGTGCACACATTTCATTCTAGGGTTGACCACACATAACAGCTTACTTCCTTTTTGCTTAAGTACCTACAAGTTGGGTTTCTAACACATTTAACAATAATATATATATATATATATATATAAAATATTATACTAAAATTTTGGACATCTCCTTGTGTGGCTTTGAGGACAGAAGAGTGACTAACAAGGACCATAGCCCAGACCTCTCTAAGACTTACAGCCTAGTTCCCCAATGACTGGAAGGGACTGCAAATGGGAATTTTATATTTGCATCACAGTAACATTTGTATTATAATTCATTCATGATGCATTAATAATGTCTGACAGATCCAACATGGGCATTAAAGGTTAGAGTGCTTCCAAGCCATAACCCTTCAGCGAAATGCCAGTGGGAATATGCCCTCCAAGTGATACTCCTTTGTCATTGTCAAAGTCAGAATCTGAAAGCGAAGCTCTGGTCTCACTAAGCAAAGACATTTCTTCTGAGAGCTGCTGACTCACGCCAGGTGTTTACCTTGTAGGTCACAGTGCTTCGAAATGTCTCATGAGTGGTGTGCTTCCGATAATGACACGGGAACAGGTAAGAAGTATTACTTTATTCATGAACTAGACCAGACGTTTGATTTATCCCTAAAACCTTATGCTCATTTGCATTGCAGAATCCATTCTCGAGCAGAGAGGAGGGTGAGTTTTTTTTCCGTGCTAATGATCCAGGAATGGAGCACTCCCTGGGAAGCCCTCAGGAAAGGTCTTGTACAAATCAATACTGCCAGTCAAGTGTTTCTTCCACTGGGGATATCAAGGCTAAAACTCACTGGGCAGGAAAATTCAGGACTGGACCCCAGTAT